GGTCCTTGCCAGATGGCAAATCTTTGTTCCTCTGCTACCCTACCATGGGGAACAGACAGATCCAAAGCACAAACAGGCAGTAGGTTGTGCAGCAGATTCATCACATAGCTTGTGGGCTATATGAGGCTAAGAGCAAAGGGAGATTTAGGACATCCCCTTACTTTGCTTCCCTTTTAACAACTCTATATCCTATCTCATGCCTGAGTCTTTCCAGTTAGGTAACTAGGAAATCACATGCTTAATTTTGGTTCAGGAATTGCAAGGCAAGTGTCCAAGAATTGTCCAGAGAAACCTGTTTCATAACAACGTTTTAGCTCCCAGACTGAAACAGAATTTATTTTTTTTATCCATCTATCTATCTATCTATCTATCTATCTATCTATCTATCTATATCTATATCTATATCTAATCTATCTACATCTACATCTAACTCTGCATCTAGTTATATCTATCTACCTATATGAATACCTGTAGCCACATCTGTATCTGTATTCTATATTATTGCACCCTATAATTATTTTTTGTCTGTCTGCACATGGTGACATGTACTTGCTCGTGAAGAGTAAAGGCATACTGAAGAAGACAGTTTTTGGAAATTAGAGTTTCACTGGATAAAGTTACTGTGTGCTCAGATCAGTGGTGCTATAGCACAGACATGAACACACTGTTTTCAAAGCCCACCTGCTGAGTTGGGGAAAAACCCAGCTCTAGTCAAACCCTTCTGTTTTTACACAGACATTGTTAGGAGACAGAGGAATACATATATTTCCTCCAAATCTTCTCTTCTTGTAAAAATGCTGTAAGTATAATGAAAGCAACTTTGACTTGATTAAAACCAACCAAGCAAAATCATTCTTTGGGTTTTTGGCCTAATTTTTAGGCTAGTTTACACAAACTGTCTTCTCAGTTTCAGCATATTATTAGTCCCAGGCATGTAGTTCAATAATACTTGAGTGCAATTGCAAATGCTTGAGTTACTTTGCAATTATTTCCATTTATTTATTGTGTACCAGAATGTTACTCTGTAATTATTACAATGTATTTATTGTAGAGAAAATAATTTTGAATAATGAAATTAAAAGTGGAAATTCTTCTTGAATGTTTTTCTGTGAAAATTACATAATAAAATATTGAAAAGACAAGACCAAACTTGCATATGCTACTTTCACACGTTACGGTCAGTAGAAGTAACAAAGGAGCAAATTCTGCTGCCAGCAAATCTGAAATACATTCTGATTTCTTAGTGGTTTACACTAATGCTGGTGAAACAGAATCTACAACACTAGCCCAAGGCCCAGAGGATAAATCAAGCTATAGTGAAATGCATCTGACAGCAGAATATGCCTGAATTTAAGCAATTTTATAGTCCAGCCATGATCCTGACATGAATAGTCAATTTAACATAATTTTATGTTGAGCACATAGGCACCTTATTGCTGTAAAGCTCCCAATGTAATCTAATCCTTTGCAGATCAAAGCTCTCACTGCAGAGTCCTCAGCAGGAAGACGTTAGATGTAGAATATTGGAGAGCTAAGCATTTGCATGGAAGAGACAGAACAGGAATATACTGGAGCCCTCAGCTGGGTTCTAAAAAAATTAGTAATCCAAATAGTTCCGTTCAAGTCACTGACATGGAGCTTTATTTTTGCTATAGAGCAAGAAAGGTGAAACCAGTGGTTTTCTCTAAAACATCACCTAAAATGTCTGCTGAACCTAGCATTTTTCACCAGTTATGCATTTGAAGGTGAAATACATTCAGACATCTTTCAAAAGAGGTGAATTATATTGCCATGTGAGCAGTAAAAAACCTCCTGAAACGTCCTTTCATCCATCTGATCTACATATATATGTAAGTAGTTTTAAGTGAAATTTGTCTGGAAAAGACACCTCCTTCACACAGTGAAGTGTAAAATGTTATATAGTAAGTATTATTATATAATAAGAAATTATAAAAGTGCAACACATAAAAATATAATGAATTATAAACAATTATAGTATTGCATAGAGCATATCTTATTATATTTTTAAATAATATTTGAAATATATTATAAATACATTCAATTAAATATTATAGTAAATATTTTTATTAAATATCGTATTAGGTATTAATATTAAATATAGTAAATATTAACTACAGCTCTTCCCTGTGGGAATGTTTTTAGAGGAAAATGGACATGTATTGATTGAGCCAGGAAAAGGATATGAATACTTTTATGACCTTGAGCAAGGCCTGTAGCTTTGCCCTTGAAGTCTCCATGAAAGAGACATAAGAAGGACAGCTGTTGCTTAACAAGAAAACAAGGGGCGAGACAAGAAGCTCTGAAGGTAATAGGTGAATGCCAAGGAACTCTGAAAACTAGAAAAGCCCACATGTTTGCCTTGTGCAAGAAGGCTTTTATCAATGATAAATTGTGTGATCACGTGTAGGGATAAAGAAATTGTATATTAGGGTTAGAAGACGGCAATAAAGTGTCATTTGTTTGATTCATATTGAAACGTGCAGTGTCCAGTTCTTTATCTTCTCACCTTCTAGCTTCAAAGCATGTAAAATGGTTTCTTGGGAAGAAATTATCTTCTTTTATAAGAAAACAGAAAAGGCAGCAAGTGTTTTTCCCTACAGCGCAAAGCAAAGGCTTGTATGAGTCAGTCAGTATATGGCAGGCTGTGTGGTAACGCTTGGTTTGAAAGATACCTAGCTGTGGATTATTTCACCTCATAGAAACAAAGAAATGTTTACACTCTTAATCAAATCTTAAATAATTCCTGACATCAAGGAGCTGCAGGAGGCAGCTTAGTCAGTTTAGGCAGTTTAGTCTGGTTAAGTTACACCAAGTGTACAGGTACTGGTCCTGCCCAGATATGGCTGCTGGGCACATCTGACTCAGAGCACAGAGCTGCCCTCCTCCTGTATCTTTACCTGTCCGAGTAACAGCAAAAAAGGGGCTGAGAGAAACTTGTTTTATTAAGCTAAAGAATCTTCTACAGACAGAACATTTTCTGCTAAAAAAGGATTGGTTTTAGAACAATAAAAAAATTCATCTCTTGATCTTAAACCATGTGAATACCACCTAGAGATTTAAAATTTAGAAAATGCTTGCAGCAGATGTCATCCTACTGATCTGCTCTGAAAATGCTGATGCATTTACAGTAAATCCCTAACCAGGCCACTTGTGCAACAAGTTGAAGTGACATAAAGTATTAACATTTATGGTGATGAGTCAAATCAAACAAACATCCTCTTTTATAGGCTTTCTCAACTGCATGTAGTAGCATGTACTGCGAGTAATCAAACATCTGTTACAGTCCTGACTTGCTCACAACTGAGCAAGTGTTGCAATAATTCTGTAGGACCAGGCTTCACATTAAGCCTTTAGTGGGTAGAAGAGAAAAATCAACACTTACAAGGTTTACTTCATCTCAGTTTATTTAGGAAGAATGAGCCAGATCTCCTCTGAGGGAAACAAAAAAGTGCCACATTGCAAAATATCCAAAACTGATTTTAACTCCAGATAAATGTATTTCAATGATACTTGCACTTCACTCAAGTGCTCAGAAAGCCCCTTTTCATCAGGTGTACTTTGGGGAAAAAAGTGAATTATAAAATTTGCTTTGATGGCTCACTTTTGCATAAAGTTACCTATATATAAAGTTATCTATATATGCGTTATGATGAGTTGCACTCAATTTTAACAGCTGCCCCTTCTGCTTAGGGTCTTCCTGACCACCCTTGTGTATTGCCCACTGTGAGGAAAGGCCATCTAATGTTCCCCACTCCCACCTTCAATCTCATTGACTTTTGACATTTACCAAAAAGACTTGGCTTTGTTCTGTCTACACCATGATGAGTATAAAGAGCCAACAGAATTCTCAAGTCAGAAATTTTAGACTCAATACAGGAGATCATATACTAGTTATATACAGACATATTCTTATTTCCAAATTCAAATATATACTTAAAAAGCCCTTGTTTAAGGGCTTTTCTGACTAGATAGAGTTTCCTGCGTCTGCCAAGGCTTTTGCAGAGTTAGACCTTAAAAGTTGGTGTCTGTTTTGAATACAGGTGATGACTATAAGCTGTGAAGTCCTATTAGCTGTTATAGAACTGTGATGCAGAAATGGGATTTGTTTATTTTGTTCGTTTTGGCTTTTTTAAGCTCAAAAGTTAAATAGATACAGCAAAATTTGCATATCATTCTAGGAAAATTAATGGAAAGATTTCTATATTCAAATAATATAAATGAAAAATTCAAGAAAAGGTTTATCTTAAAAGGAGAGGTTGTTTAAAAAGTGAGGTCAGACCTCACCCAGTGTGAAGCCTTTAGGCAAGTTCCCCCGGAAAGTATAAAAGACTTGCATTCCCATTTACTGTACATCTATACTACAGTGAGAAATGTCCAGAGGAAAATTCCCTTGATCTCCTGCTTTAATGTGTTTTTCTTCCAGACTACCTGTGCACAAACAGAATTAATGATTCCTGCAAGATCAGCCTGCATCCCCCCTCAGTTCTGAAATCTTTCCTCTGTTATTTGTTTTTCTTCCAAGGGAGAAACTTTTCTTGCTTATTTATGGCCCCAGAGTACTGACCTAACGCTGTAATGCAATTCTTGAGCCCTTCAATCAGAACAGGAATATCTACATGGAGATCAACAGAAAATTAAACTCTTTGGAATCCCTGTATTTTTGACTGTGAAAAGTGAGAGAACTTAAACCAGCAAGGTAAAGAACTTAAAAGCACAGCTGCCAGTCGTTTCACTCTTGTTCTTCATCTCCCCTTCCCTCTGTGTGTTTCAGATCATCGCATATTTATTATGTTACAATTTAAATTTCAAGTTCTTTGGCTCAAGGCTTGTCTCTTTATTTGAATTTGTTCACAGATTTGAGTACATAAAAAAACAGCGAGAAGAGTACAGCTTAGGAAACTTAGAAAAACTGTGCAATTAGAACTCTTTCCTATACAACAGGGTGTCCAGGGTGTCTGCCTCACCTTTCGTCTTCATAAGCAGTAAGGAGAAATACCAGACAGATATGTATCAAACAGACTCTATTGTTTTATTAATCAGTGTTAATGTACAGGTTAATTTAAAAAAAGCTACAGTTTATGAAATGTAGCATCTACTTAAAAGATACAAATCTAGGCCAATTGCCACAGTATCTACTGATGCTCATCAGCTGTAAAAAATTTACAGTTTTTTTTCTGATATACAAAATCTCAAGCAAACATTCTTTGTTAAACATTCTGTAAAGGTAACAGCATTCTACTACAATTTCATATCGTGTTTTAGTGAAAAAGGAAGTACAAATATAAAAATAGTGAGACTTGAATAAAAAACCACAACAACAAAAACTCAAGGAAGCTGTGGAGTTAGAGGTGAGTGTCAGCTATGGGTATCCTTCTAAGCTCTACGATCTGGGAGTTAGCCATGCTGCCACCATCCTGGCTACCATGACAAGACTCGTTATCACTTACACTGAGACCTGCACCTGAAATAGAGAAAAAAACAACAATAAGAATCAGTGAGAATGAAACTTTGACACAGAAATGGGGATACTCTGTTCCACTCCGCTTTATTCTGATTATCAAAATTTTTCCCCACCCTGCAACCACATGGCAAGTTTCCTCTTACTAGTCTACCATTCTGAATCCATGGATTATAAATTAGCTGACATAGCTTTGTACCATCCAGATATGCTTTTTCCAAATTCCACTGTCATTCACTTTATTTGGCCCAATAAGTGGTACAATAGCTTTTTAGAGGTTGCCTTGAAATCAGAAAAGCATAAATCAAGGCCTGGCCTAGACTGTGTTAATGGTCTGGCTATTACAAGGACTTCCTCATAAAGAATTTATTTTTAATGATACAATTTTAAAAAATACAAGTTAAACCATAATTCCAACTGACTTAATAAGACAGTAATTTCTATCAGAGAAAAGATACTTACAAATATTCTTTAAACCTACATTTGGCATAAACTGGTGCATTAACTTTTACTTCTACTGGAAGAGAATAATAGAGTTTGGTTCAAGGGAACCTCCAAAACATGCCTAAAAGAGACCTTGGAAGGCTACCCTCTCCATCTTTTTGTCACAGGACTTCTGCTAGCTTTCTGCTTCCTATTTGTTTGATGGGGATTTCATTTAGGCTTTTATTGTGGGGGAGGTCTGAGATGATTACTGTGAACATGCATAATCCTGTACTAGTTTTTATGAAATGCAAATTTTTTTCAGACCATTTTGTCACAAAAGATCTGTTGGAACTATAATCTTCAGTACTTTTTCAGCTCCCCACCTTGAGCTGTAGAACAAATTCTACATAGCTCATGAGTTTTGAGGGCTTAGGTTGTCTAGGCTTTAAAATTTTTGAGAACTGCATATCAGTATAATGAGGCATGAGGATTTCAATACAAATTACTTTCAGGCATGATCCTGCAGCGATGTCATTTACAAATGATGAGGGAAGTAATTTGTTTTGGGCAGAAGCAGATCTGTAACTACATGCAGTTCAAGGCAGCTAAAAGGAATGACATCTGGCTCAAAACAGCCCTGAACAGGGTATGTTGGGAGAGGCAGTGATTTACATTTCATACTAAAAATATTTTCTAGAGTTTCTATCAGGTGGACAGTGGGTCTCCTATTTCTACCTCAGCTGACACTCCAGTTTGTGGTTTGTTTGACAAAAGAAAATATTAGCTTAATTCTTTTAGTTTCTGTATCTTTTTCTATGCTCCCTCTTCCACTTTTACAAAGTTTTTTCTTAGCACACTTACACCCACCACCCCTCAAGCAGAAAAGAAGTGCTGCAAAGCGGGCAGCAGTGAGATGCTGCTTTGCTGTGGGAAGTCAGGCTGCAATCTTGAATATGGAGTTTTGTCCAGAGAACTTGCGCAGAAGGTCCTGTAGGACTAGCCAAGTTTTCCTGCAGAGGTCTGGATGAAGTCCTGGTAGGGACCAAACTTGGATCCATGCCCTATGCTCCAGGGTAAAAATGGGTAAGCTGAACCGTGATCCTTCTTACACCTGGTTTTCGTGTTTGGTGGGTCATGGAGGGAAACATGGGTTCACTGACATTGATGAGTCCTTAGGTCTGCATAACCCAAGTTCTTGAGAAAACAACAACTACTGCCAGAGTACGACAGAAGTAAAAATCCATCAACATATGGACATACAATAACAAAGTCAAGATTAGAATCTGAATTATTAAAAAATTTGTTTATGAATGTATTGAAGTTGATTTAAATTTGTATGCACATTTAACCTTTTCATTGAACCAGATCCTAATATCCAAAAGGTGACTGAAGGTCCTGGGAAAAGCAGCAATTGTTTAAACAAGTTATTTTAATTGTTTGACATTTGATTGTTTTAGAAAGGAAACCTGACTGTAATAGAGATGACTCAAACTGCCATATTTACCACATGGGGATGGAAGATCAAGTAAATTCATGAAGTAAATAAAATACTTTGAATGAAGAAAGAACACAATACTTCTTATGTAGCATAATAACAGTGGAATTCATTCAAGACATTTAGTCAAACTGAAAAGGGTACAAATTTCGAAAACTGAACACCAACACCCACCTCCACCATTATTTAAAACCATTTGAAATAATAATTATGATCACCCTGGGCTCAGATTTCCAGGTGAATTCTGACTCTTGGTGTTGGAAAGATATTTGTCTTACCAGTGGGTACACTGGTAAAGTGGCAACTATTTAGCATGGGGTTTTTTTAAGAATCTTTTGCTGGACACCACAAAAAGTTCAGGCATTGGTCTAATGGTCTAATACTATCTATATTCTTAAATGTCATATATGTGCAAGTTGTGTCCAGGCTCTGTGCAAAGTCAGAGAAGATCTTTTTTGTTACAGAGGTTCTTATCAGAAACTTGCTAGGTCAGAGACTGAAACGGGATACTTTAGGTTTACAAGGGCCTTGTTCTGCTGATACTGCAGAGACAAACGATGTTAGAACTGAGCCTTTTTAGGAATAAGAAGTGAAATGTAACCAGGATACCAGCTTACCAAACAGTCAGCAGGCTGGAAAGGGTATGACTGTTTACACAATGGACTTTCACAGAGTTCATTGGTCCACTGTGCTCTCAGATTAGAGTGGAATTAAACTCAATGAGATCCTAAAAAGCACGCACATGCACTCATCTGGAGATGCTAGAGTTGGATGGTAGGTATGCAGCAGGGAGTATTACTTTTCCCCAGTTTGTGAAGGAACTATTCGAAGAAAAATAAGCAGGAAAATGAAGCCTTTCTTTCTTTTCTTTTTGTATGCAAGGACTAGGTGTAAACTGAAAAGTCTCAGCTCAGGCTTCAAACCCAGAGAGGTTCCTCCACTGACATCTGCTGGTGAAGGGCTAAGCCAGTGCATCCCTATGTGCCCTGGAACACCAGCTGTTATCATCTGCTTGCTCAGAGACAGCTCAGACTTTCACTAAAACATTTTAAGGGAGAGAGTTTGTTTTGTAAGTACTGTACTCATATCTCTGGGAAAACTTTTTATGTCTCAAGCACTTATATCTTGTTTAATCAGTCATGATTTTATTGTATGTGTGGGATGTATATGAATCAGCTACACAAACCAAATTTAATTCTTCTTTCAGGGTTTTAATTTCACATAAATGACACCAACAGACATCCGGACTTCTATAAATAAAGTTCAGATTGAACTAAAAACCCTGACTGGGTATTGCACAGTCACATTCAATAGCCAACAGGTAACATATGTGTGACAACCACACATGAGAAAAGGAAGGAATATGCAAACTAGTTATCTTCCCTTTTTTTTTTTTCTTTTTTTTTCTTTTTGGCTTGTTTTTTTTTTTTTTTTTTTTTTTTTTTTTTGGGGGTTTTTTTTGTGGTTTTTTTTTTTTTTTTTTTTTTTTTTTTTTTTTTATGTTTTGCTTTTTTTTCTTTGAAATGAGCCCTTCAAAACAGAAATTATGTAGGATTATAAGGCAGAGATTTTGCCAGCTACAATCTATATGCATTTATTCTCCAGGATGCTGCACTGAACACCTTTCAGAACTGAAATTTCAAATGTTTCCTCTGGTTCAGGATGGCCACATGAGATGCCTTATTCTCAAATCAGGCACCTTCAGCGGTGTCACCAAGGTGTATTAAATGCTGACTTTGGAACCCTAGCTGCATTAGATTGAAAATCATTAATAATTTTATATAACGTTGTAACAGCTGCATTTGCATGGGGCTTTTAACTTAGTAGATTTTTCCAGGATTTTTCCATACAAGAGAATAATTAGAGTATTTGCATCATATTAAAGAAATATAGGAATATTTATATAATATTTATCAAAATTGCCTCTATTAAGAGTAAAACCACACTAAGGTATGAATGTAGCGGTATTCTGCTTAATATGTATCTGGATACTATCACAGTGGGTCACCTGACCCCTCTGGAGAAGTTTGGGCCTCCCTTAAAGGCTTTGCTGTGTTTTGATTTCACATCTCATCCAAATGTGTTTTGGTTTTATGCACCATAGAAAGGGAGGGGACAAGAGTATTTGTAAGATATAGATGGAAGTCCAGAAATCAGTAAAGCTATCATGCATTTATGGCATTCATGCTCTAGAGCAATGCTTATGGGCAGCTTACTGCTTTAGGACAGATTGCATTGACTTTCTTGTTAGTTCCTTTTCTAACTGTTTAGCCCAAACCAGAGTAGAAGACCTCGGGGAATTCTGGTATATCGGTCTTTATCCTCAATAACAATAACATGACTCTGTCGCAATCTGGAAGGCAAAGGTCTTACTAAATTGCCTATCAATATAAACCTTGCACAAGAAATCAGAGGGAAAATGAGATCTAGTCCAAAACTGAAGACTTTTAAAGTTAATTAGTGAAATAAACAAAAACTAATCCATAAATAACTAACTTTCTCAATAGAAGCTGTTTGAATCATTATAAGAGCCATAAATGAAATACAATAAAGTAAATACATACAAATTTATCAACATTTAAAAAAAGCTTTTAGCATATGTCAATGAGCAGGACACGTCTCTACCCATAATAGTTTCGTTATTTCCTTCACACAAACCACCTTGGAGCTGGTTTGCCTTCCAAAAGATCTCCAAAACAAAAGAAATTATGTGATACAGTGAGCAGAGTAAATCCAAACTGTGTATTTCTGTATGGACATGAGCATATTTGACTGAAAGAAGGAATTACTTGGTAAGGCATTCAAATACAATGGATGTATGGCATAAGAAGCCCATTGGATTCCTCACACAAACCAGCAAAACCCTATCACCATGTGATGCACGTACAAAGCTAGCATAACAGGTGGCTAAGAAACAGTACACTGCTATCCACCTGATTTGCTACAACTGCAGTAGTATGTCTCCATCTGACTCAGCCTGTGTTTCAGGTTAATCTGTAATTAGGCTCAGCATTAATGACTATGGAACCAAGGGCTAAGTGCAAGTTCTGTGACACATTCCTCTAGGAACAATGTCAAGTGTGCCAGCACAACTATTTATGGAGATGCACTGCACGCTGCAAATTACTAAACACTGAGAAGCTAAAAACAAAGGTTTTTCTGTGGAGGGCTGGTTGAAATTTTTTAACCTGTCTTCATTTCTACAGCTGAGATTGGCAGAAGGGCAGGAATGAAATTTTAGCTTTGCTATGATTATACTCATTCGCATTAATTCTGGCTGCCAGGTTAAACCTTGTGGCTACAAAATTATGCCCTGTGAGCATAAGTTAAAGTCACCTTCAGACAGCTCAGAACTACATGAGCACAAAGAACAGATGAAGCACAAAAGGGCATAAAAACATTTTTACATATTCCTCTGCTAATCAGTGCTGATCTTCAGTCAGCCCTCAGAGTGGGAGCTAACATTTTAGCACTGCTATAGCTAAGTTTTAGTATAGATTGACAGTTTTAGGAACACAGATAATAGAAGGTTCTATTTCAGTTAATCAAAGGTAAAGTTCAAACAACTGTATTTCTAATCTTCCCCTAAAAGAAATACAGTTTTGCAGTGATAAAACTAGCTAATGTGGGGGCAAGAGCATCTTCTCCTGCTCTTCCAGAATAAGGAATTCAGCCTTCTGAAATAAAGTCTCTTCTGAAAGAGTTTGAGAAGCACCTCACAGTGCAAATTACAGGCAGGTGCAGTTCAGCAAAAATGCATCTTAGATGCCTATATACTTTAGCCTATTTAGAGAAGAGGTCCTTGTCTTCCAATTGCCAGTGACCACTTCTTTCTGGGAGACAGGACTGGTGCTCGAAGGACATCAGGCTAACTGATAGAGTGGGAGACAGAAGGAAGAAGAAAGAATAAGAAAAAAGAAAAAGAAGAAAGAGAAAAAAGAAAAAAAGGAGAAATCTAACCTGACTTCTTGTGGTTTCATGTGAGCACAAGCAATGATTCAAGACAGGAAGAAATGTGAGATAAGCTCATTTCAGTGCCTGCTAGCTTAACTTTTATCATAAAACTCCTGTTAGTCCACAGCACAGTGAATGCTTTAGCAGCATAGGTCCATATTGTCAAACAGAGAAAAAAAATCCAGCTTTCCAGCTTTCCACCACCTCATCTCTCTTTTTATTACTTCCATGTGATTCCTGCCTCCCTCTCCTTGGCCATGCACTGAACAAACGAAATGGAGAACATATCAGGATAAAAAAAATAAAGTAGATTTTTAGATACAGGAAAGCTTGGGGATTTTCTTTGTTTGTTTTGTTGTTTTGGGATTTTTTTAAGATAAATAGTATGTGTTGAACTAGAGGTTGTATCTCTGAGACAATAGCTGCTAAATATTTACTTTGCTGTTCAAAGATGCTCTAACCTTCCACACCACCTCTTCAGTTCATCTTGTTCAAATGTGAGGCTGAAACCACATGGGACAGCTTGTTTGGTGTAGAAATCATGGAGATTTTTACTCTTGTAACACTGCTGGGGATACCATGTGGGCACAAGAGTAAGCATTGGTGTAAAATTGCCAGGCACTACTTGAATCAGTAATGTAAACAAAATATTTTGCTCCAACAATGGCCTGAGGTCGCTGCTTCAAATCACATTAATATGAAATGTTAATAAAAACAAATTATAATAAAATATTAATAAAGAAGACAATAATAGAATTGAGGAAAGAAAATCAAAAGTTGGTTTTAGACCTACTTTCCCAAAGAACTTAAAACAAGATAACTAGGATGGAGCTAACAAAGTAGAATTAGTCATCAAAATGTCTAGAAAAATTAAAAAGTATAAAACAGATTTTCACAGAATATAGAACAGTTTGAATTGGAAGGGACCTTAAAGACCACCTATTTCCAGCCACCTGCCACAGGCAGGAACAGCTTCCACTAGATCAGGCTGCTCAGAGCCTCATGAAACCTGGCCTTGAACACTTCCAGGGACGGAGTAGCCACAGCTTCTCTGGGTAACCTGTGCCAGGGCCTCCGCACCCTCACAGGGAAGAATTTCTGCCTAATACCTAATCTAAACATGCCCTCTTTCAGTTCAAAGCCACTCCCCCTTGTCCTGTCACACTAAGCCCTTGTCAAAAGTCTCTCTCCAGCTCTCCTTAGCTATTGGAACGGACTCAAAGCTCTCCTCAGTGCCTTCCCTTCTCCAGGCTGACAAGTCCAACATTCTCAACCTTTCCTCATAGCAGAGGTGTTCCAGCCCTCTGAGCACCTTCATGGCCTCCTCTGGAATCAGTCCATGTCCTTCACATGTTGAGGGTCCCATAATTAGAAGCATTTCCTGCAATGTAAATTGGCTTAGGATACACAGCATTATGAATTTACTGAATTATTTTATTTATTTTTTACCATTTTATTATCAGCATTCCCAGTCTTCCTTCCAATTTGACTTTTCTTTATATAACTGAAGGGAACGAGCTTCTGCAATTATGTGTGCCAGGTCACTTAATCTGCTACACTCGCAAATAACTTGCAAGGCTCAGTCATATCCTGAAAGATCATTTAGGTTACCTCCTAGACTACCAAGCAAGTCTATTTGCACTTTAATTGGGTGGGCTTTGGTTAGTGTCTGCCACATCTTAACAGGTAGGAGGATTCCTTTGCCTCTTTGCTTGTCCTATCAGACATTCCCATGTTCCCATGCTGACTGATCTTTAAGATTTCCATTGGAAATCAGATTATATTAAGAGACCTCATTAACTGTATCTCATGGAATAGTGGCACCATTAAGATGAATAATACCACAGCAATAGAACAAACTTTGAGGGGCAAAGGGAACAGCCACTCACCAGTCTTTAAGGCAAATATAAGGTCATCAAACTCTTGTGATTCCTCATCAGCAATTAATGAGCTGGTACTGAATCTTCCAGAAGGGTGGAAAACATTACCATTTTGCGGACTCTGCTTAAAGGCACCACTAGCCTGACTAGCAGGCTGCAAGGATGCCCTCTCCCAGTCTGCAGGTACCTGCAGAGTTTAAAAAGACACAAAAATGTAGTTATCAAAACTATTGTATATAGAAACTAAAAATTATGACCAGAGCTGAACTGAAGACCAATAGATTTTAGAACCAGCTATTCTGTCATTTCTATAATGAACCAGAAATCTTTAAACTTTTTAATAAATTGTATCTATGCATCTATATCTATATATATCTATTTCTATATCTACCTATATCTAATCTATCTATCATATCTATCTATCTATCTATCTATCTATCTATCTATCTATCTATCTATCATTCTTTCTCTCTCTCCCCCTCTCTCCCTTTTCCTTGCCTTTCCTTCCCTTCTGTATTGGGTTTTCATGGCCAAGTTCTGGCAGTGGGGGGAGAGGTGGCTGCAGGGGGGGCTACTGGGGTAGCTTCTGTGAGAAGCTACTGGAAGCTTCCTCCATGCCTGGTAAAGCAATCTCTGGCAGCTGCAAAGATGCATCCACTGCCAAATCTAGGCCAATTAGAAATGGTGGTAATGCCTCTGCAATAACATATTTAAGAAGAAGAAAAAAAAAAGGTTATAATGCAGATGTAACTGTGTCCAGGGAAGGCCAGGATGAGAATTTGTGAGAGGAACAACTCTGCAGACACCAGAGTCATTGGAGAAGGAGGGGGAGATGGTGCGCCAGATGCCAGAGCTGAGATTCCCCTGCAGCCTATAGAGGAGCCCCATGCCAGAGCAGGGCGATGCCTGAGAGGAGGCTGTGACCCTGTGAGAGGTGTTCAGAGAGAAGAGACCATGCTGGGGCCTGTCCATGAAGGACTACACTCCTTGGAAGAGAGACCCATGCTGCAGCAGTCTGGGGAGGACTCCTGCCCATGGGATGGACTCCCACTGGGGAAGTTCATGGAGAGCTGTCTTCTGTGTGCAGGACTCATGCTTAAGCAGGGGAAGGACTCCTTTCCCTGAGGAGCTGGAGAAGCTACAGATGACAAACTGACCATAACTCGCATTCCTTGTCTCCCTGTGTTGCTGGGGGAGGAACCTGAGAAAGAGGGAGCTTGGTGAGGGGGGGAAGGTGTATTTAAGGTCTTGTCTTTTTTTTCATTATGGTGCTCTGATTTTATACAATAAATAAAATTATTATCTCTAATTTGAGCCTGTTTGGCTCCTGATGGTGTTTGGTGAATGATTTCCTCTGGTCCTTAACTCATGAACCCTTTGTTATATTTTCTCTCCCCTGTCTAGCTGCAGAGGGGAGTGAGAGAGACACTTTAGTGGATGCCTGGCATCGAGGAAAGGTAAATCCACTACAATTTCCCTTCCCCTTTCCCTTTCCCCCGTCCCCTTTCCCTCTTTTCCCTTCTCCCATTTCCACTCCCTTCCTTTCCCCATTCCATTCCATTCCATTCCATTCCATTCCATTCCATTCCATTCCATTCCATTCCATTCCATTCCAATTTTTTCTAACTTTATTGCAATTTCCAGAAGTTTTAAACATCATAACTCTGAGAAATTAAGTACTTAAAACTCACCTAAAACCTATAGTAAGGTGAAAGAATTAACCTGATACTTTGATTTCTTCAGACCTACTTTTGACACTTTAACCAACCTCCATAATAAACTGAAGACTCAAGTGTGAAAAGGGAAATTCTCTAGGTGGGATTTTATAAGGGCACAGTAGGTTCCAAGAATAATATGAATAAAGATAACTATTTTTGTCATTATAATAAATGAAAAAAAGCTCCCTACCACCCAAAGACAGCCTATAATATTTAGCATCTCAGTCTCAGGTATTACACTTCAGAACTAATGCTGAAATCTCCAGGTACATTTCAATAAATAAGATAATGATTATAGAGCACTCTTACCTCTTCCATAGCACTGATGAGGTTCTGTGTAGACTTGCTGATCTCTCCTCCTGCAGCAGGAAGACCACTGCCATGTGTGAAAAACGCGGATCCTGAAGCTGTATGCCCATTCATGTCTACAGTGTAACTTGCTTTCACAGGACAGCAAAGTTGGTTGTGCAGGATAAAATATACCACAAAGACATAAAGACCCTTAAACAGAGATTGAAACAGAACATCAGCTTGTGAAATGCAGGAAGTTTGGTTCAGAGTTTTCGGTGCAAAATAATGGATGGCATCACTGTCCATCAGAGATCTAAAAGTTACGAGTTCACATCCTGAGTTCTTCAGCTAAAAAGCACACACGCACACACACACATATTTGACAATTATTATTTGGTTGAACCTATAGAGTTGCAAAGGAAAGCCACGACCCCAAAACCAACAAAACCAAATTGAGTTTCACAGTTGTTTTAACAGTGAAAATGAGGTTAAAGGCCTCCCTTATAATAGCATTTGGCTGCTGTTGCTTAGCCACAATTCATTTTCTTACTGACCTGCTGGCTTTTTTGTAATCTTTACCTCATGTAAACTGCACTGCTCCTGTCACAGATACCATAATTATAAATTAGATTTGCTGTGATATGCATAAATTCAGCACTGGTTTTCATTTCTGATTACAATAAAGGCTCTGCTGTATGCTTCTGCAGTTTTTCTTTAAACCTTGTTAATTTTGACCTTTAGACTGAGCCAAGGAAAGTATTATAACTACACCTTGTGTTTGTAAAGAAATCCAGTAATTGAACTTCTCTGTATTAAATCTGACTTACTTTAATTTTTAAGTTGTACTAATACTGACGGAAAATAACCCACCCCAACTAATAATCAACCTGTTCAATAATTACTAAAGAAAGGAATACCAAAATAGTACAGAAAGAAGTCTTTTGCATTCCTACCAATTGCTGCAATGCAATTACATTTGCAATGGTTTTTTTATTCACATTGTTCTCTAGAACTCTGAAGCCAGTTGTACTAAACAGAACAATTCATTTTAAAGGTATCCCCTGCCATGGAAGTACTAACTGAGATCACAAATATTAAGGAGTATTATATTTGTGAATTCCTAATGAAAGGAGTTTTGAAAATACTTGAAAAAAGAAGAGACTGAAAATACCCAACAGCATTTCATGATACATAGACTGATAATTTCTATTGGTAAAATGATATGACAAAATCATCTGGTCCCTAGTGACACATAAGAGAAGTTAATGGGATTCAACAGGATTTCAATCTCAGCTGGTTAAACACTGGAAACACTCTCACAAAGCCGCTATAAAACCATACAGCTTTGTGTGTGAGGGTTTTTTTTTTAACAGAAATTTACCAAACAAAAGTGTTAAAAACACTAAAAAAACTAATTTGAAAAAACTTTTTCCCACTTTTCCAGATTACTGTTTATTTGTCATGACAACTCAGAGCAGTTAACTGAGAGGAAATTTCTTTGTGATACATGTAAGTAAATACGTTCAATAAAATAGATGCAAACACATGTTTGAGGCACTAAAAAAGGAACTAAAATATCCTTTCATTTTATAAACAAGTTCAAGGACTCTGATATAGGTCAAACATAATGGGGCCAACAAACGGATTTATTTTAATTTAAGTTGTTATGGATATGAAAAGGATAAAAACCCCAAGAATAACAGATTATAGTGATAATACAAAATTCAGAGTAGCCTCTGGCAGTTCAGTCTCTGAGGGCCTAGCCACAAAAGGTGCACACACATTTCAAGCAGTTATTCAAGAAAACCCATTAGCTGAAGATATTGCATAGCCCTGTCATTAGAAATTTCAGGGACACAAGGCATTGACATACAAGGTCCATGAGAAGTCACTCTCCTGTGTAGCCGCAAGTGTGGACAGTCAATTTTTTAAAACAAATACACATAGAATAATGTGTCACAATTATCTTCTTAACTTGGTCTGTGTCCTGATATAACTCGCTGAAGATGGATGATGAGAGGACTCCTCGGGTCCTTCCACAATAATCACATGGACACAGGGAGGATATTTTAATACCTAAGGACAGGAGAAGTCAAAGGCTGAAACAGATAGCAGAGCAAAAAATTGTGATTTACTTCTCCCATCTTGTAAATTGTTATAGTAACGTCTTACAAACAGATACCTAATGAAACCCAGCACTCCTAAGCAGGCAATACATGTAACACGGAATTCTTGTTGGACAGAGAATTCCTTGCTTGGCTGGACAAAGGATGGGCCTTTCTTTCACCTATATTCCTCTCAAAATTTAGACTCGGAAGAAGAAACATCTCTGTAGATGGTTTTTTGTACCATCACTGTGGGTTTGTTTGAAGCATCAAAAGGGTTTTGTGGTCATATTGTGACAAACTTGTGTCCCTATTAAACACCCCAGGAAAGTGGTCAGGAAGCCAAAACAAGTCAAATGGTCCTGTCCAAATAGTATTGAGTTACAAAGACCATACACATGAAAATGTCATGCAGTAAATTGTATGGATTTCTCTTTCTTTTCAAGCCAGCAGCTACCAGGCTGTTTACTCTGAAAGAGCATGAGCAGCGTGCAGATACTTAGGTTGTGTCAGTGCAACCACAGCTTTCCGTGGGTTTTTTCAAAAGCATCACTCCGAGAATTGAACTATCCTTCCTCATGTTTTTGACTCTACTTATGTTGCTTTTCACTTCAAACTTTAACACTGTAGAAACAATCATAAATTGCTGTGAAAATAAGGTTGTTGGCATTGTAATATATGCTTTTCTGTGTTTATCATATAAACAGCTCTAGCCAAGATGGAACTACTGTACTTTTTCATAGACTCACAGACCTTGTCCTTGCTGGTTGGACTAAGAATGAAATTAAGAGAATAATCAATTTCTGCTGAAAGGCCTGCCAGAAACCTACACCCTCCAAAAGGATTGAAAAGAGGTGGGTCAGTGTGTGGACATTAGTTAACACAGGCAATGAAACTTCTGTTAAATTTGTGGGAAATATTATTTTTTTTATTACAAGTTTTCATCAAAAAAACCTTAAGTAAACTCAAAAAACTCAAACCCCAAAATCTCAGCCTAGTGCCAGTAACCTCTGCTATTGCATATAAATTGGGAGCCATGCTCCTCAACTCAAAAGCATGTGCTGGGGGGGCCATGAGAATCTTGAGTGCCAGATTGCAATGACTCACTGATCATGTAAGAGCTTGACCTGGGTTCCATGAAAAACTAAGCTGAAGAACTAGGACTCTGGAGGATTTAACAGTAATTCTACATAAATTCTTTGCATTAGGCCCACAGGGCTACTTACAAAACATTTAACCCCATTTCATTTATGGTTACAATATGATAGTAGTGTTTGTACAATGCTACAGTAAAAGATAAAAGAAAAAAGTGATAGTAATATATTTTCTAGCAACGAAGGTGGGAACTACTTCAAGCAGACAATTAGGTTGTCCCAAAGGAGGAAACACAAACAGGCAACTTATAGTTCTCAAATATGATGGCTATTTGAAAAAAGACTGCAAGAGACTGTCTGAAAAGGCTGTTGGTTATTTTACTGATATTTGCTGATGGAAGACAATTAAGCTTTTACTATTTCATCTCAGCAAACTGATCTGGCTCATCATCTCTTTTGTACTGTTACATCAGGGAAAAAAATATCCTGTCTAAAAGAAAGCTCACGTGGAAAAGTTTGATGTGACATTTTTGTTCAGTGAGGTGGAAGCAGCCTCAGTGCTGCTCTAGGTTATGCCAGGTAGTTCATCTTACAAGAGATAGTCATGGAGAAGGCAGCGGGACATGATGGAAGGAGAAAGAGTGGTGCTAAGCTTAAATGGGGAAGGTTCCAACAGGATATGAAGAAAACATATTTAATGAGAGGATAACTAAGCACTGGAACAACATGCCCAAAGAGACTGTGGAAATTTCTCCATAGAAGAAGAAAGTTTTTTCTGGTATATATGTACAAAGTATGATTAATGAGAGGGTTTTATTCATGCATGTGTGCGAGGGGGTTCTCATAAGCAATAGATTTATTTATTTATTTATTCTGAGAAGCAGCTGCAGGAAGCTAGTAAATTAAGGACAGACTACATTAATACATTTAATACCTCATGAGATCCCATGCAGAACTGGAGGAGATGGAGAAAACCTTCACTGCACACTGAAGACTCAAAGTTTCTGACTCTTTGTCCTCTAACTCTTCCAATTTACTGTGATGACACTATATTATGTCTAAATTTGAAAACTGAGCTAACTCTGTTACTAGTAATGAGTAAAGATAAAACAGACTGTAGGAAATCAACAAATCTTTTCATCATCTTCTCTTTATGTACAGAGAGAAAACCAAGACGCTTACTGTATCACATGATTTTATTATTGTTCTGATAAACACAAACACACGAAGGCATTAGACTTATTTTTCCAGATAATATACATCATGCTTCTCCCACAAGTATTTTAATCGTAGCTGAGATACTCCACCCTGAAATTACAGAACCTGTTTTCAAGGAGAAATGCATTCAGATATTATCACATGTTTTAGATGAATGGTATTTCTATATATAAAATGAAAGTATCTTAAGAGGACTTCTGTGAATGAAAAGTAATTTCATCACTCCGTTTCAGCAGTTCCTCAACATGCTTCTGGGTATGTATCAGCACTAACAAAAACTGCTGGCACTCTACAGAAACACTCTTCAAGTTCCTAATTTAATTTAGAAAATTCTGTTTGTTAACCATCATCACCTGACTATATCACTAAAAGTTGCTTTTCTAAAGGAGAATACTTAAAGCAAAATCAAGGCTTCTGAATAAAGCTGACCACTTGGCCAGACCACAAATTTCAATTACCAGAAAAGGTTCATTCTGATCCTTAGAACATGGTGGCTAAAAAAACTATTTTTTTACAGTTACATCTTTATTCATGCCAGCTGGTAAAAACACCCCAATAAAGAACAGAAAGATATCTTTGACAACAGCAGAGCTGTCCATACTTGGATCTGCTTTTGACACTGCCATTACTGTAATTTCTGTATGATGGTTGATTTGGTTAGTCTTACTTCAGATTTTTAATTTTATGAGGGTGAGACTTAATTATATTCTCTGTCTGGACTGTGCTAATTTACTCTTGGCAACCAGTCCTAGGAAGTCCTTTCCTTGTTAATTTAGTGATCACACTGTTCTTTTTGGATGGCTGTCAATGGTCAGGGGTGCTGTTGCCACTTCTGGTGATGTGCTACTCAATGCGTTGGCTGATTTCTTGTGAACTTCCCTAGGGTTTTCATTAATTTATGGGAAGTTCTTATGTTGTTTTCCATCACTGGCTGGTCAAAGACTGCTGTGGATTAACCCTGATTTACATAACAAGTGCTTATTTCTTTTGGGAAAATTACCAGTCTGATTAATATAAATAAATTGCATTTTTCAGTAAGTTCAAAAGCTAGTCTCTGTAAAAAAAATTACTCACAAAATTAAGGGAATCATATTCAAGAAATCATAATCAGTGCCATTGTAAAATGCATGATATAAATTTGATAATATTGTCTTTCCTAATAATTTTTTGATTAGTTATGGAACTGTATAGTCATACATGCAGTAGTATTAATAATGTGAGCCAAGTGGCAAACACAAAACATATAATTCTCTATTTCTTTCTGCAAGGAAAGCTCTCCTTCCTTTCCTGCTTCCCTTCTTTGTTTTTAGAGATAATTATGATAAATTATCATAATTTATGGCATGGCATTTTTCTACGCAGTCTTTAATGGACATTTTATTTTGCCATTATTTTCTTCAATTTTATTTTGAAAGTAGATTGAAGATCTTTTATTGTTGCTATTATGATAGAAGTATCACCTTAGTCATATGATACATCTTAAGCTACCACTTAACCTCTCCCACTCAGGGCTCTTCAGAAACAACAATCTTTGAAATATAAATCAAAGACCCTTTGTCTAAGTGTGATTATATTGCTTAGCATTCAAAGTGATTTTTGTAAAACTGTCTGCAGCTGTGCAACTCCATCAGCTGATGATTGCACTTAGCAAGTAGACTTTGGACCAGCTGTGTATCAAGTGTTAGAATGTTTATTTGCCGTTAAGCATCAGTTTTGATGAAACCATTGTAATTCTTATCAATCATGCAATTTATCTTATCACAGTTTCAACTGTGAATGTTTACTGCTTATCTGCACTTTGCTTCCTGAAGCATTTACACCCCATTTTGCTCTGTAGGACAAGATTTGTGTCAGNCCGAAGATCTAAAAATTAACATCAGAAGCAAAAAAACAATAATAAACGTAATCAAGAATAAATAAATATAATTCAGGACGGCAAAAGTCATACCATGTTGGCAGGCATCCCCTGTTGAACCACGAACTGCCACCACACACACACACACGAGAACAGAAGCCATCTTAAAAAATGGAATGGAGAAAAGTAATAATTCATGTATTTATCATTAAATTGAAAATGCATCTAAAGGTCTGGCCTGAAATATACTTACTGTGAGTGTTTTCGTTTTTTGGTAAAGTTTTAATTCCACAGATAAACAAGTTACAGGTGTCTTCTGTAATAATGAAAAAAATACTGTGCTTTCAGGATTTTGAACAAGTTTTCCTAATACTAATGTTTCATCTGAAACTTTAGTATACACTGCCAAGTTTCTCTTTATGCAGAGCCAGCTATGCCAAGACCATGCTGAATCTTGCAACTTCTACTCAAAGCCAAAGCTTTTTAAATACCTTTCTGGCAAACTGCACTCAGCTCAGATTTAGTCTACACTTGGCTAAGTCTTACCTTACAGGTTCACACACTTTGGCACATCTTTAAAAAGCAGATTTGCTTGGATACTCAGTATTCACTATAAATATTTTCCATAGCTCTCAGCACACTTGTAACTACTCCCACACAACTGCCATTTTTACCTCTCATTTCAGCACTCTAAGTGGTAGAAAAGGTCTTGGAGGGTTTTATTTTGGGGGTTTTTGCTTGGATTTTTTGGGTTTCGTTTGGTCAGTTGTGGTTTGTTTCAAGGGCACAGATTCAACATTAAAAGAGAGGTGCTAAGCTTGAAAATGCACTGAAAATATAGACGATTAGCTGAACTTGCCAAATGTGTAGATTAAGCTAGAATAAGATTCTGTCACTTCCTTCCAATGCAGTCATGCCAGAAATACGAAAAAAGCCCTGCTTTTGTATTTCAAGCTTAGCTGAGAAAGAAATACTAAGTCGAACACCAAAGGTAGGGACTTGGGAGAGGTGGAGGACCAACATGGGAGAGCCAGCCTTAGAAGCCACTTGCAATTCCCCCACAGCTCTGGCTGCAGTCATTCCTTACTGAGCTCTGTGAGAATCAACAAATCTCAGCAACCACAAATGGTGGCAGGAGGTTAAGAACAATCAAGAGCATATGAAGCAGACTGATACCCCATTGTTCCCTATCTCTGTCCCAATTCTTAGCCTGTGATTTTTTTTTCCCCACTGCCTTTTTTTTATAATTTTATTTTTCTTTCCTGCACAGGAAACAGAAACTGGAGACACTGTCCTTTGAGGTCATTTTTGCATTAGGTTCTTTTTGTGCTTTATCCTATGAGGAGGATGGCTCTGGTAGGAAAAAGTAGCCAGATCACACATCTATGAAGCCAAACTATTTGTCCACTTACAAGTGGACAAGATAGTGTAAGATGAACCTTGCACTAAAAAAGAACAATCAGGAAGACCAAACACAGTAAGCCTATGCTCATCCATTTTTCAACTCCTAGAAATATCACAGGTCATGAGTTTTCACATATGCTTAGCAAAATTTTTCGAACATTTACTCTCATAATTGCTTTCCATGGTAAACAGTTATAACCAAACCAACATTTTAGATCACACCTTAAAATCTAAGCCTCCTATGCTTATATTTCTTTCCCAGAGAAGGAAATGTTGATGAAAAAGCCTTTGCAAGCTCTGCTCTAGTTCAAGACATTCCCAAACAGTCTCAGAACATTTCTCTAGTTATATCTGAAACAAAGCTGAAAACTCAAACAAGAAGCTAGCAATTGAAAAAACTATATTCAAAGACCAGACAAACTAGCATCACAGCGCACAGTCAAAACAAAAAAGACCTACTCCTGCAGCACGTTATTATTTTTATTTTTTGTTAAAGCAGTAGTTTTTATTTATGTGTATTAATGACTGATACACTGAGATAAAAGAAACAGGGAATAGAAAGTGGGCTTTTAGTGACTGGAAGAGTCAAAAGACGGAAGCAATCTTTGTGTTTATGGCTAATTTGTTACATGGCATTAAAGAAAATCTCAAAGAGTTAAGCTAGAAGTTATTTTTATAACATTTTTTCCCCTTTAAGGAATTCTTTCACTTTCATAATCTCTCGTATGCCTACTGTTGTCCCGTTGATTCTTGTTACTCTGAATGAAGAATTAGATAAACTATCTATTTAGAAACATTTCAGTGCAGTGCCATAAAGATTTGTAACAAAAACTCAGCAACCTCAGAAGCCATAAATTCAAGAAACCTTCAAAAAACTCTGTCTTGGATGGAATTGAAGAGTTGTAGATAACTAGTGTAATTATTTGTCATATCTTCTACTTGAGTGTTTTAGGGCAAGACTGATGAGAATAGAGTATTGTGTGCTCCAGCATTCTCTGACTATTTGAAAAAGCCTTTGGTGATCCTGCAGCCAGATTGAGAGCTACAGACACACAAGGCTGTAAGGAGCAAAACAAAGTCTCACCATGTTCAACCACCCCTTATTTAAAACTGACCCCAGCAAATATCTTATAATGAATTTTTAATGCTTTTTACATCTGGAATAACAGATGTGTAAGTTACTACAAGAAGCAATTTTGCCAGACAACTGACTCAGAACTACAGTTCTTGTATAGCAGGCTTTGCTGTTAGGTGATACTCATGAGAACTGTCAGCAATTTATACTCCCTACTTCCCTTAATTTTAATGAAAAAATCCCATAGATACTTACTGCCTTTCCACAGATTCAGGGATGGTGGAAGACAAGTCTTATAAAGCAGGAAGATAAAACTATTTTGGTTAGGTATGCTCCTCAAGGAAAGGCAAATGTGGGCAAAAATGAGAACAAAGACTAGATGTCCTTCCATATCTGACAGGTAGGTGAACAAGAGTAGGTGGAGGTGTAATTTGGCTCTGTCATTGAAATCACTCGCTTCCTGGCTTGAGATAATAAGCCCCCAATCTGTGCAAGGAGAGAATAAAATGTAACTCAAGAAAATACTTGAGATCTCTTTTCACAGGGAGTGCTACTCAGAGTAAAATAAAATCCAGAGTCACACGAATCACAGAATCATACAACGCTAAGGATTTGGAATACATATTAAAGATCATCCATTCCTGACCCCAGCTGCCATGGACAGAGACACCTCTCATTAGACCAGATTGCTCAAGAATTTATCCAAACTGGCCCTGAACATCACCAGGAATGGGGCATCCACAATCTCTCCAGGCAACCTGTTCCAGTACCTCACCATCCTCACCGTGAAAAATGTCTTCCTAAATTTCCCCTCTTTATTTGGTACCCATTATTCCTTGTCCTATCACTACAGTTCCTGAAAAGCAGTCCTTTTCCAGCTTTCCAGTATGCCCTCTTCAGTTACTGGAAGGTTGCTAGGAGTTCTCTATACAACCTTCTCTTTCCCAGGCTGAACAGCCCTAACTTTCTCAACCTGTCTTCTTAGGGGAGTGCTCCAGTCCTCTTATCAACTTCTTGGCCCTCTTCTGGACTTGCTCCAACAGTTCCATGTCCTCCTTCTGTTGGGACACCAGAACTGTCCACAGCACTCCAGGTGGGGTCCCACAAGAGCAGAGCAGAGCAGAGCAGAGCAGAGC